GCACCCTTCGCTGTTCCTGGAAGTTACTTACTTCCGGGTTCGGCGACCAACCAGTTCGCGGGGACCGCCGCGAACCGGTTGAAACCCACCCCTGATGCGCAGCCTCCTAAGCTCTGTTTTCACTGGCAGAGGCACCATGGCCCGGTCCTTTGCTGTTTCCAGGCCGGCCCCGCAGGCCAGATCTAAGCACCCAGCGGGCCTTGAGTTTAACACCCTTGCTATAAGGTGTCTTGAGTTTACAGTCTTAATGGTGCTATTAAATTTACTCAGGGATAGAATACCCCAAGTTTATTCTCTGGCTTCTCAACTAAAGGGGGAAAAAAGGAAATAAGGGGAAAGATCTCTGAAACCTTGAAGAGTTGCTATGAGTCAAAATAGCAAATGGTGAGCAGCCTGGAGAAATAATCTAGTATAACAAATAATTATTGAACCTCACCTATGTCTTGTGGCAGTGACTCAGAAATTGTCTTTAAGACACTGACTTTTTAAACCTATGTTTGCTGCATTATGTTAATGCATCTATTGCTATTGAAAACTTGTAATGCGGTTTCTGATGGAATAACTTATCTCATGCAAAAGAAATAACAGGCTTGTGTCACGAAAACCTAACACATCTATCACTGCTAACCTTTTCTGGATCATAGCCCACTTTATCAGGTGCCTGGAGTATAATCTTGAAAATACATAAGAAGGCACATGTCTCCTGAAATAAGGCCAGCTATCACAGAGATTTTATCTCTGTGTACAGGTATATGTACAAACACATCAGAAGAGCTGTGGAAAAAGATGCTATGCATTCAGTAGCTATGTTCTTTCAGCATATGAAAGAAATACAAGAGAGTGTCAATTTTAAAATGGATTTTAACAAGCTAAAGAGCGGGGTTCAGTCTTAGCCTTTCGATTTTTTTCTTGGCCAGTTGGTTGTTCCCATCAATTGATCCATTTGAATTAATTTAATTGGTAATTTAAAACAGTTCAGCATATTCAGTGATACTTTTGATCCTTTACATTGTATACAATTATTTGTTGTTAGGATCCAG